GGGGGGATGTTTGGGGCTTGGGTGCCTTCCCCCCGCCGGGGTGCCGGCCCCGAAGGGCGCCTGTGCCGGGGGAGGGGAGAGGAGAGGATTTTGGTGGCCGTTGCTGGGTTGACTGTTTTTAGTGGTTTTTGGTTTTGTTTTTTTATTCTAATTTGTTGTTGCTTATGTGTGTGGAACAGAGCCCTAATTCAGGAGGAATGGGGTTTGAGAAATGGTAGTATTCGTTATTGCAGTAAAACACGGTTTCTGCTTGACAGCCAGTTTTATCACAAAACTATAAAAATGGAAAGTTGAGGTGTCGGTGCACAGCACCAGAGCCGCCCGCACACAGCTGTCCGTGCTCGTGGGTCACAAGCACGAGGTAAAGGTTGCTTTGAAAACTGAAGTATGAACCAGCCATGGTCCATAGTTAAATTGTTTTGTCATTGGCTGTGCTATCATCGAAATAACAGCAGCCTGTCTGATATTGGCAGACAAATGGACTGCCCATATTTAAAATACGGAGCTGTGAGAAGGATGTTCAGCTCTGACCGGTCGGGCTCAGCATAGGAAAGTTGTAGAGTACTGTATGCCACATTGCCAGATTGATAGCGTGAAAAATATCTTCTGGCAATGGGTTTAATCACCTAATCTTACTAAGAAAAAATAGGTAGCTTCTGAAAATTTTCGTATTTTTAGTGCTATGATGTCAAACATCATGGAAAGATAAGGATATTGTAAATCTCTGTAATTAAAATACTATGCAAGAGCTAAGTAACTGTGTGAAGAAGTGTATCCTTTAAATGCAATTGCTGTCTTTTGTAGGAGAAAACCGACATAGAAGGGACCTTATTTGTGTACAAAAGGTAAGGGTTTTCTTGTGGGGTTTTTTCATTTTTCCTTCCTTAAGAAAACAAACCTCATGTGGCTTCATATGTATCTTTCATACTGGATTTACTGCATCCAGTAAACTCAAAATTATTTATTTGTCCAGCTGTTAATCTCTGTGTACTCATTTGAAAAGAAGAAACTTTACACATAGGTGAATAACTCTTATCAAAAGCACCTAAAAGTACTGCTGGAAAACGAGAAAACTTGATGAACCAGGCACATGTATCCACACAAAAAACTAATTTATCAAGCTTATTTTGTTAATCCAATAGTATTTGTTCATGTATTGAGTTTGTTAAATGCTGTCTTCCTTGGTCTCCTGAAATCCATAAAGCTGATTATGAAAACAATACAGATGACAAATAAAATAATCTGTCCTAACTTAATTTCTGCCATTTCCTGGGAGAAAGTTGCCTATAAGATGGATATCTGCTACTGTATTGTTTTGGGGGCTACTTGATTTTGTCATCAAATTGATAAAAGAAACTCCCAATTATATGGGATGAGGGAAAAGCGTGTGGGGGAAAACCAGCAAGTAAAGCCAATCGTGGATTTAAGTTTTAGATTACAGGCAAATCAAAAATTTAGCAATGAAATAACACTCCGAATGTAAGAAATATAAATAATGCAGACTTAACCTGTCCTGAGACAGAATGTTAAAGACTAAGTGATTACAATATTTTATCCTGGCACCGTGAAGGGATACTAATAGCCAGTTCCTATCTACTTTGCTTTAGCTCCAAGCTTGCAAATACTTAGTGTAAAAAAAGCCAACTGAACTAAAAAACAACAACCAAAAAAAGCACCCTAAGCAAAAAGTTTCCTTGTGACTAGCTGATTATTTCAAACAAGTTCTGTTAGGCACATTAAAAGATTAACTCGTGATGGCAGAGATTGTTTGCCCCCTCCTCAGAAGCTCTTGACAGATTTTGTTGTTGATCATTTGGTAAAGGTGGCACATTGTTACAGAAATTTTAACACGAGCTGATTATATCTGATTTTTACCCTGCTTCCATCATGCCGCTGAGTTGATTACGTGACTGCTTACGGGCACAGCTGAGTGTGCTGACATGACATTCATGTAGCAAGAGAAAACAGATCTAAAACTATCTTGAACTTCGAGTGCTTGCTTGCTTAATGTTTTCTTTTTCCATCTGGTGTCTAGCAAAAATCTAGGTAATAGAAATTGTTTCACCGAGCAATACAATTCTGAATAATTTAATATCTACTTTGAGGAGCTGAGATAAGCCTTTATTTTAAGAGCCTTCCTTTAGGAAGAAATTACTGCTTCTGGTTCCCCTCTAAGTGTATTTCATGTTATTTAAGCTAACATCTTGTTTGTTTGTTTGTTTTGTTTTCACACCTATTTACAGTAAGGTAAATGTTGTTCCATAAATGGCTTGTTTTTTTCTCATCTAGCAAAAGATTCTGAAATGCCTCAAAACCATCTTGCGTGAAGTACTGAATACATTTGCATTTTAATCCTGGACCTGCCCTGGGTTTTTTTAATAGATTTTTTTTTGAGGCATATCTTTGATGCAGCAGTTTAGCAGTGTAGAACTGTAATGTTAATCCTAATCCTACTTTGAGGTAAATGTGGCTTTAAAATGAAATTAGTTGGCATGCCAAGAAATGGCATAGAAGACCAACTGTTAGAGCTTCAGGACTGCTAAAGCTTCAGCTAATAAAGCAATGGAGATTTGAAGATTAAATTGTAACTCTGTTTCAGAAAGTTGTATACATTGATCAAGGTATTAATCCTTGTCTTTGTTTTAATTGAAACAATAGGTCAGCTTCTCCTTATCATGGTTTTACGATAGTGAATCGACTGAACATGCACAACCTGGTTGAACCAGTAAATAAAGATTTGGAGTTTCAGCTCCATGAACCTTTTCTTCTCTACAGAAATGCTAGCTGTGAGTATAACTTTCTTTAATCCGTGTAAACTTCGTGTTCTGTTCTATAACCTAGACCACTTCCGGTTACTGTGATGTCTGTTTCAGGTATAATGTAATAGGGCAGGTTCCAGTGAAATGTTTGGTGGTTTCTGTCTGCAGTGCTAGATTTACTTAAATAGCTGGGGTATTGTATTATATTATGCTGACCACCTGTGTTCAGCAGAAAGAGGATATACTAACAAGGTTAAATGTTTCTATATTCTTTTTAATTAATGATCTGATAGGTTTAATCTAAACATATACATGGTGCTATAGTATTAATAAAAAAACTATGAAAGAATAGTGAAGATGCTAGATTTTGAAAGTATTTAACACCAAGAACAGTTGAAAGACTTCCTCTTTTGCAACTGAAAAATTAAATATTAATCAGTACCCGCCTGAAGACATTGAGAAAATTGCTCAGCTCTAGGTTGAAGGTTTCTTTCTCCAGAATAGGTTTTGGACTCAGGAGATAGATGTCTATACTAAATTTCCTGGAGTTTAGACTCTAGCAAGTTTGGATGTTAGTATAATCGTTACACAGAGTGGTAAAATAGTAGTTAGTATCTTCTTGCTGCTTTTTGAATTCTGGTAGTGTGTTGGGTCATCAGTTGAGCTTCAGACTCCTAGTGTACTGTGGTCCAAATAGGTACACGCTAAAAATCCCGTTACTCTGAAGAGCTCTAAGTATAAATTACGTAGCCCTTAAAGAGAGGTGGAGGGAGTATATGTGTATATGAAATTCACATTAGGTTAAGTAGATAAATAAAAGGCACCCCACAGAGCAGAGGGTCCTCCTGGTACAAAGGTATAATTTTATGTCCTCTTTTTGAGGCAAAGTACTTAATACTAGCTTGCTGCTGCCTATTTACAGGTTCCCCTTACTGAATTACTTGGAGAACCTGTATGCTGTCTGCATACTGTCCTTCCTCAACATCACGTCTTCTTCCTATTGGAATGTCCCCTTGAATTACAGATTGGAACAGTGCTTTGGCTATGCTTCAGTGTACCTAAAAGAACAGTCAAATGTTAATCCCTTCCTGTTTCCCCCTTGGAAAGCCTCTAGGATCTGTGGGGAGTAGGATAGATTCCATTACGGTGACAAAAGAACAGCTTAAGGTAGGTGGTGTCCTCTGTTTAATAGTCTTAGCAATCCTTCTGTAAATGTCATGCAGAGGAAGAGGTCAAAACTTGTCAGTAAGGTGAGAAGTCTAGGAGGCGAGGGAAGTAAATGACTGGCAAGAAATTGGGAGGGGGTGGAAATACTGCATGGAGTTGGATGTTTAAGCAGGTTGCCTGGTTTGGAAGAGGAGCTGTAGATGATGGTGGTAGGGGAAGGATGGGAGATGAGGTGACAATAGAGGAAAGAATATGCAATTGACATAAGAGAAGCAGGAAGTTGAGTCATTTGTTGGAACTGCTGATGGTATCAGGAAGCAGGAGCTGCTGAGGAATTACCATGGTGTATTCTAGTGGGAGTGCCTAGAGGATCACTTAAAGGAAGGTAGACTGTGTGTGAGTTCATCAGAAACCCCTAGAGCTAATTATATGCCTTTCTCTCATTCATAAAAGCCCTCCTTTTCCTATGGGACACTATTGTGTAAGATCTGTGGGAGGCTCACGGGACTTAGGATAGAGATGACATAGAACAGTATGAGGAAGGAAGGAATTCATACAAAGGTGAGGGAGGAAAACATAGACTGGATATGGGAAATAATTGCATTCTGAAGTAATCAAGAGTATTTTTTTTTCCTCTTATCTTTCCCATTGTCATTTTGAAATACTTTGGTTGGAAACTATCCTTTATTTCATCACTCTGCCCCTATGTCCTGGAAGAGGGTGGTAGCATGCCCAGAAACAGTCTACCCTGATTGCAAATTGGAAATGTTCAGCGTAGTTTGTATGTCACTAGTTATTTCCCTGAGTGCCACAGATAAGCAGTAGATCAGTTTTTGTGTGCTCTGCTAGTGTTCGCTTTGTTTGACTACAAGCTTAAAAGCATAGAAAACAGCATCCAAGCTTTTTATTCCTTGCGGTTTCAGTGCTGCTAACTCTGCTACATTTTGCATTTAGCTGTTGCATTTTGGATTTTCTTCTTTATATGCAGTTTCCCAAATTTTCTGACCTCTGTATCCTGAATTAGCTAGAAAAAAATAAATTATGTGATCGAAACGTTCAGTGTTATCTGTTTGCCTTCATCTGTGTAGTATTTGTGAAACTTAAAAAAAAAAAAACCCAAAAAACCCACACCAAAAACCAACCAACCAAACAAACAAAAAAACAACAAAAAACCCCCAAACCAAAAAAGTCATCATTGATTTGAATTTTCAAATTTCAACATGTATGTATTTTATTTGTGTGGGAAGATAAGGAGATCGTCGTCCAAGTTCTTTTCATGCAGAAGGGTGTCCACTTCTGCTCAGCTTCATGCTGGCATGAAAAAACTTTGCATTTTTGGGGACTAATTCAAGTAGAAGTTTTAAGCCAATGGTTAATGCAATGCATATCTCTAATGGCTTAATGTGGAGTTCTTCTGAGATCCTTTAATGACTGAAAGAGGATGGACTGCTAGGTTGTGCAAGGAAAAACTACCTCTTGCACTGAGTGTTGGCAACAGCCCTGTTTCTTGTAGAGTGGTTTTTCTTGTGTCCTGCTTGAGGAAATCTACTGTGATTATTAGAAACTCTTAAGAGTAAGCTGTCCTGCTAACACTGCTGAATGATTAAACTGATTCTTCTGTTTCCATAGCTTATAGATGGGGAATGGTTCAGACTACCTGATAAAAACCTAAAATCATGTTTATTTATACTGCTGTGTGGCAGAGACAAACATCTTTTGTACCTGTATATTTAGGTTGTAGCAGGATCAATGACAAATCGTGGTTTACTCTTCCCCAGGGCTTGGTAGAAACAGTAGATGGTGAAAGCAAAATTATGCCACTGCATATTTGGGGAAGGTTCCATGTATCATATTCAGTTATAAAGACTGACTACTGTTTTGTAAACTTCATGTTTTCACTTTGTTCTGGGATTCTGTCTTGACTTAAGAAAATAATAAGGGCAGTCTGTTATGTATCAGACCTCTGGCATTTCTGTCTTAAATGGCATGAGAGCTGTTCTGAGTATATCAAGTGACGTACTCCAGTCTATGCAGAGCTGCTAACCAGTTACATGAAAAACTTTGCAAGCAGTATATAAATATTTTTTTTCTTGGTTCGAGGCTATGCAAATGATTTGCCTGTAATGCTTGGTGGGTTTTACCATTCCTTTATGATTTGATTCATTCAAATACTTGTTTTTTTAATATACAATGGAATTTTTAGTTTGCTGTGTATCAGAACTTACTTTTGTTAAGCTGTAGACATGAGATCCTTTATCCAATTGCACAAAGTTTTTTCATACTTTTAGAACAAGAGTAGGCAATTGCCATGTTATTCTCACAGGAAAGGAGGCCTGACTTATCTTTCATAGTTGTTGGGTGTGGGGGTTCCCCTGTTTTTGCAAGGTGGGATATGAAGGAGCCTTTCATGGGTATTCTGGAAGGAGAATAGACCAAGTGATACAGTACCTTTCTTGTATCTACCTTTTGTTGTATTCACTGGGTGAAATGGAAGACAATTGGGTCAATATGTTATTCGTTATTCTGGTTAGATGTAAGACACGTAGAGGCTTCTACACTCCCCTCCCGAAAATAATACCTTTTTAATATTTCAGCCATTAATGGGGAAATGTTTCCCAACTCCAGACTTCTTTTTCTCAGAATCATTCTGGCTACGTAATACAGTTCAAGCCCCAAAAGAATACTTAAACCCCAAAATTGTGAGAAAGGCTTTGTCTACTTTGAAAGTTGTATATAATGCTGCCTGAAAAGTTACACCGTTTATTCATGAGGCATCAGATCCTAAAGCAAAAATGACAGGGGGTGTGACTAAGAAGCTGTGAGACGTTATACCAGTTACTGTGGTAAATAAAAATATAAAAAAAAAGTTATTCTACTTCTCATTGTTAGAGAGAATTAAAGAAAGCAAATATCTCCAAATGTGAGCAAATCAAGAAATTATGTCAATTTCTTTTAATTTCAGTAATGTACAATATTTTTAATTTAGAATTCCTCTTAAAAGGTAGATATATTTTTTTAGATTATACTTCATACTTAATGTGCTATTTATTATTGCTTAATCTGGAATATGTGTTGACAAGTACACTTTATCCCTGTCTAACTTTCCCTCTGGATGCATGCACGTTCTTTATAGTGTTCAGAGTATTTGTTCATGAAGCACTGAATCCCATTGACCTGTTTTTTTTAATGAACCTAAGCTTGTTTCCCCTTGTCTGTAGTTCGTGAAAAGTATGTTCGACTGTTTTAAAAAAGGCATACAGTTCTGCCAGTAGCAATAACAACAGCCCAATCTGAAAATTCAGTACTTTCTTTCAGTCTGTAATATGAGAATCTAATGTAAAGCTGATAGTTGATATAGTTTGCTTAATAATAGAGTATAACACTTCAAAGTTTTAAACAAAGGCCAACTTACCTCTTAAAGTCTGCAAGAAGTATTCTTTCAAGTCTTTCTCGTGTGTAACTTTCCCTCTGTATCGGTGGCGCTGGTCTTGATTAAAAGGCTTTTTAATCCAAGCTAGTTCATTTGGGAGGCCAGGCAGGTTGATTTCCATGGTCCTGAAAACACAGATGCTAAGCATAAAACTTGGGTATCAAAATAAATAGTCCTTTTTTGCTGTGGCGGTTTTGTTTTGTTTTTTCTTGCTTCTTATTCCTGTCCAAGGCTAAGGATTAATAAAACAGAAATAATGGATTTTTGGAGAGGTTTATACATTTAAGTGTAAAGCTCAGTTACAAAGTGCTGTCTTCTGGCCCTGACGTATTATCATTAAACTTGTATTCAGAACAGCAAGAGCAAAATGAGTTGCATTATTTCAAATGGCTTTCAAAATTCTTTGAAAGAGCTCCCGACTGGTTTCAAAACAGGGCATCTTTACTGGCAAGGAAAGTCTCTCGTTATCACCTTTGCTCCCGGCTGGCACCGCGTTAAGTGTAACGTGTCTCTGTGATTGCCGAAGCTGAATGGCTCTCCAGCAGGCGCATTAACCCAGTCGGTTAGTCTGAGATAAGGAAGGAGCCTGTTCTTGATACCTTTATAGCAGAAGCAGCAATGCAAGCTAGGGGGAGGGGAGGGGAGGAACCACTGAAAGCTGTTAAGAAGTTCTAAAAATACTTTGTTTGACCTGAAAGATAGCACTCTAACTGGAAGGGGTTTTCTGCTCTGGTTCAGTGTGGCAAAGTAGTAATCCCTCTGGTTCCACACTATGCTTTGTCAGATGGCAGTTTGTTAAAGTGTTCCTGGTCTCAGATGCTGTTTGTCACCTGCCAAATTACTCCAGTGCAACTGTTTGTGGGATTGTGCTGTGAACTGTATTTGTGAAATGGCCCTAGATATTCAAAACTATAAGAAAGGAAGGAACTTTTTTTTATTAATTCTAATGATTTATAAATCTGTGTGGCAGGCTAATGTTTAAATTGAGGAAAAAATAAATAGTGAATGAGGAATCTCAGTGAAGAAGATATTGGAGCAGAGGGACTGAGGAGAGGTGGCATTTCAGCTAACCTTGCTACTGGAAGAAATAGGAGCTTTGAGAGAGATTGCTTTATGTGCTTATTGCATTATGCCTTAAACTCTATTTGAAGTGTAAAATGATGCATAGATGCGCCTTGCTTCATAGGAGCAAGATCATGTTGATTTCCATGATTACCTTATGGGATGGGTGTCAAAATACAAGTCTTCCCAAAGAGAGTTTGAAAGGTAACTGTGCCCCACTCCCAGTTCTGCTTCATTGTATAGCAACATCTAAATTGGAACTGCAAAATACAACTTTTCTCTGTCCTCTATCAGCTCTTCCAACTATTTAAGGTAACTTCTAAACAGATCATCTTTTTGAATGAGGCGAAGCTGTATCGGCACAGATGGCTAAATTGCCTAAGGCAGGAGAGTGATAGGTCTGGAATCTCTGAAACTGGCAGTGCTGATAAGTCCCGTGTACACTTCTTCCAGCGTAGCATTCTCAGGCTACAGTTTCATGAACATTTCAACAGTTTTGCCTCCTTGTGCTGCCCCCAGCTTCTTGTTTCTGCCCTCTGTTGTGCTAGATGGCATGTTTGTGAAGCTGATGCACAAGCAGTATTAATGAACAGGTCTGGACTAAAATGTATCCAGCTGACGGCAGGGACAGGAGTGAATTGAGGTGGAATGAGTTAATGGCAAAGCTGTGGGAATGTAAGGGTGGTGACACTGCTGCTTCATGCTTCCTTAAAATGAAAATTGAAGTGAAACTACAGTTTTGGGATGCAACTTCATTTTATGTTGCCAAAGAGTGAGGCCTCTGTCTCACTGTGGCGCTTTGCTATCCCTGCTCTTAATCCAGATCTGCTAACTGGGCAGCATTGGAACTGCTGACTGCCCCACGAAGCAATGGGAGCACAATGTAGGAGACAGTAATACCTTCCTTTTGGTGTAATCAGGCTGTTAGACTTGCCTTTTGTTTTCTGAATGCTTTTGTCTTCTGAAAAATCTCTTCTCTCCCATAGCAGTTTCAATCAAGTTTGATCAATTCAGTCAAGTTTGGAGAGGAGTTGAGCGTTATGTGTTTAGATAAATATTTGCAGTCCAGTGTTTCTAATAAAAATGACAATGTCTGAGAAGAATGTAGATGAAGATAACTGATGACTTCTTTTAATTTTATGTAATTTGCTTTGTCTGTGATATGGGTTACTTGTGACTTCACGTGTGTCAAAATGCCGTGTGAATCCAGATGAAAGATATTGCTCCTGATGATTGCAAACTACTTCTACTTGACTGTTAAAGATGCTGCCCAGCATTCAGTGGAGAAAAGCTGGATGGAAAGTGTTGAACTAGGTGGAAGAATGTCACTTAATTCAGTGACTTCTGTTGGATGAAACCCTTAAAAGAATTGCAGTAGAAAGGCATGCCATTAGACATATGAACATTCAGCTAATGTTTATGCTGGGTGTAGTAAAAAGATTGCAGATTTGAAAAGAACTGGTAAGTACCAACTCTGTTTTTTAATAAAAGGATGATCATAGCTAAAGTTGTCTGCATGTATGAAGTGTATCAGATATAGTAGTGCAGTTGGGATGTACGCGCGTGCTTCTGGGGCAAGCAAGCTGAACCGATAGTACAAATGAGTCCTCTTTTGAAAAGAGGAAGGTAAACATTCCAGCCTGTTGTACCATATCTGAGTTCATGCCCGAGTTTACTTGCTCATAATCTGCTTTACATCCTTGTAATACTGTTAATGTTTTGCAGTAGCTCCCTATGATTGCTTGCCAGTAGTACAAAGTGGAAAAAAGCCTGATACTCTGTTCACCATGGAGATTTGGATCTACTTCTGGTCTTGTGTAGGCCTGTTTCTGGCAGAATTGAGTGTGACTTTTATCATTTGTCCCATTAAGATACCATTATAGGTTCCTTATCTTTGTTTCTTCAGCAAGTATGCTTTTGAAGAAGCTTTCTTCTCTTGGCAGTTTGTCTGATAATGGGGTCAGGGAAGGGAAAGAGGTTCCTTTAGTGTTAAAATATGGTACATGACTAAAGTAGTAGCTCAAACTGGAAACATTTTCAGGTTTCTATGCAGTAGACAATCCAGTTGTATTAAACTAAATATTAATAAATATTTCATAAGCATTGACTACGTGTATTAAATGCCTTTTTATATTGGCTTATGTCTTTTGTAAGAAGAAAGTTCCTTAAATTTGTGCTATATTGATTTCTCTGTTTATGACTTGAAAAGCTTTGTTGTCTGTTACTTAAACTATAACTTCTAAAGAAACAAACACCCAAATGGATATAGTTGTTATTTAATGAAATTTTAAAAAAGCAGCAAAGTAGAACTTCAGTTTGTCTTAGGATATTGTTATAGAAATGATGTGTGGGCATGACTTTTTGAGGGTTTTGGTCCAACACAGCTTAGGATAACTGGCAGGTCTAGGAAAAAAAGTTTGATTAAATAATTGTTCCTCTTTGCCATGGCTTGAAATAATTTTGAGTGGACTTTGGTTGAGATTTGAGTGTTCTGAGGAAAAAAAAAAAGTGGGGGGAGGAGAGGAAAGGGTTTCACTTTTAAATAAAAATCTGCATCTGTTTGGAAAAGGCTGTTTTAAAAAAACACCATTCTTTTCCTTTGCTTTAAGTCATATTTTTATAACTGGTTAGTGATTTCAACTTCATAAAAACTTTGGCATGAACTGCAATGTAAAGATGAGTTTTAAAAGGCTAAAAGTGTCTTTTCAGAAATGAAAATATTTTAGTGGTAACGTATGTAAAGTGTCCAACTGCCTTTGATGTACTTGAAGATTATGTATTGACAAACTTCATAGGTGAACCAAAATTTAAAATAACCTGCTTTGTGGGTTGGATTAAATACAATTCTGAAAAGAGTTCTTCAAATTTGTTGTGTTGGTGCAACTGTGGGGAGGGACAGTGAGGAGTATGTGTGTGGGTAAAAATGGCTTCTTTGAAGTGGGATTGCTGGATGAAGAAATAGTACGTGGTACTACTGCCGAAGTTTTGCTCTCTGTCTTTCAGCTCAGTGATCAGGCTCTACCTCTGTCAACCTTCAGTGTAATTTTACTTATTCTAAAAGCCAGAATGGGGCATAGCGTCTTGCTGAGCTGGAACCCTTTTGCCATGGTTGCGTTGTCCTTGATAACTTTCAAGAGTGGGGTTCAATATGAATCTAGTTTTAAGCTGCGCCATGAATGTGACAGTAAGATTGAAGCTTTGGTACTGCTTCTTTCCTAGACAGTTACTTCTCTTAGAAAAATAATTTGGATAGGGAACCTTCCAGAGAGCCTCTGACTGAATTGTCATACCGTAATTCAGACTTCAGTATTTTTGTTGAGCTTCAAAAATGGAAAAATTTAAAAATGAGTGGTTTTTTTTTTTTAAAAAAAAAGGATGTTCTTTAGACTAGTTTAAATGTTAAACTCAGTAATTCAAAACAGAAGGTTGCAACTGTAGTGAGAAGGAATCTGGTAGATAAAACTTCATTTTTCTGACACTTGAATTTTCAAACAATGACAACGTTTTGAAGTTCTTGTATTTAATCTGACTGAAGTTGTATTTGTGTTTGCACATGTGCTATTTCTGGTTATAAATAGTGGTCAGTCACATACAGAATATTCAAATGGAAATTGGTGGCAATTCATATATGGTAGATCTAATGGACTGCTGGTGTGTTGGGTTTTTTTTCTGTTGATTTCTTTCTTTTTTTTAACCTTTGTCTTACACTTGCCTTTTTCTTATTTTCAAGTGTCAATTTACAGTATCTGGTTTTACGACAAGAATGACTGTCATCGAATAGCAAAACTCATGGCTAAGTAAGTACTGTGGTCTTATTCTGTAATTCTTTAATGTGATACAGGAAAAAAACCTAACCTGTTAAATGTGTTTGGGTTTTTTCTCACTCTCCTTAGATAGAAAGATACAATGTTCTTGCTGATACCAGGTTTTTTTAGTAATCAAAATGTTGGTTTTGATTTTTACAAAACTAAACCATTAAAATTTTCAGTTAAGCACTAAAAAAATCAGTTGAAGTATTGGCATTCTCCAAGGAAAGCATGTACAAACACTGGTTTTTATTTGGTATTTTATTTTGTATAGGGATGCTGGCAAAAGATCCTCTGATGCAGAAAGTGTAATTAAATAAATGATGGCCATGTTTTTTGGTTGGTTTTGTGGTTTGTTTGGTGGTGGGCTGGTTTTTGTTTGGGTTTTGGGAGGGGGGTGGTTTAAGGCTTAGTTATTATTCCTGATTAAAGTGAACCGAGTGGAGAATAGTTGGGAGAAGTAGGAGGAATCGAATAGAATTAAAGTGGTGTTAGGAGAGTAGGCAAAACTATGAAATAATAAGAGCTTGTTGCTGCTAACTTCTGGATTGTTTGATTATTTATTTTTTTTTCTTTCTTTCTTTTTTTACCCCCCTTTGGAAATAATTTGGTCTATAAAGCTACCATGTCACTTGCTTTTATTTTGTACTCCCGAGGGCTCCTAGAGATCTCGCGCAGCAGCAGAACTTCTGAAACTGATCTCAATTTAAAGAAACCTTAAAAGACAGACTGTGTATGCAGTAACATGGTTTTGTTAGTTTGTTTCAGCTGCTGTCACTGTGGCAGTGCAGTTAGCCTGTCTGTATTGTAGAGGATTGCACTGGCACAGCTGAGGAGGGCTTCAGACTAGAGTACAGAGGTTTGTGTGAAGAACAGAGGTCAAAGAAGGCTGGAACTGGTTGAGTTGGCAATGTGGCATAAGGTCTTTAAAACATGTTGTGGATGGAGGGTGTTCTTGCACCTTTTGCTCCTTCAGGTGAGGTCCCTTGCAGATTAAGCTAAGACTTTTTACTAATAGAAAAGAATGAGAATGAACTTAAGCAAATCTTCAGTGTTGTTACGAAAGGAAGGAGCTTGAAGTGTGTGACAGGGTAGTTACGCTAGCAAAACTGCAAGATGCAGATGTACTGCACAGCATATCTTTTCATTCCTGGTTCTCTGCTTCGCTTTTCTTCATCACACTCTACTTTCCTGAACTTTCTTTTCTAGAGCATGCCTTAAACAGCATGTCATGTCTTGCGAGTCAGGATATCTTGAAGACTGGCAGAACTTAATTATATGGAAAATAGTCATAGTGTAGACATTTTAAGCTGAATTTTAATTTCTTTTTCTGGGATTCATGCTTTGGGTTATTTTGGCTTTTCCCCACAGAATCAATGTAAGACAACACAAATGACAGGCTTTAATATCAACGTCTCTTCCTAAATGCTTATTTTTCTTCTCTCTCATCCTGACAACCCTATACAGTTCCCGTGTCCCATTTTTTTTCTTTTTCCCCCAGCTTTGTTGGACTCTTTGCTGTTATTTGGCTTGTCCAAATGTAAGGATTAATTATAAGGATTACTGGAAAACAGTGGTGTGAAACTGTCGGAAATTGTTACCAAACAAAATAAAATGTCTATTGCCTCTCCACTTTATAAACAGAGCATCAGAAGGGCAAAGTTTTCTCTTTTTTTTAATGCACCTTTTAATTTAAAACCATGATTAGTGTTTGCAGTCGGGGAGAGAGCTGAACCCTTCAAACTCTACCATATTCTTACTCTGTAATGCACAGCCACACTGCAGATGTAAGTGTCACATAGCAAAACTTGAGTTCATTTGGTACGAAACTAGTCTGGTCACTGTAGCACAAATCATGGGCTATAGATACTTCAGGGATCTTTGTAAGTGTAATCAGGTAACGGACCAGTATAGCCATGGCTCAGCAGCCCGTAAAGCACATCTAAGCCTTTTTGCTGGATTCTGTAATATTCTGGAAATAGCTGTAGGTTCATTTAAAGTCAGTATGGGAACGATCTAAGCTTTATTGTTGTCTCCCTGTAAACTACTGAAGCCTGTCTTTTGTTGGGTCCCTGATGCCTATATTGCAGCTTTATTAACGCAGAGAGGCAGAAGTGCTGAAGTTGGCATTATTGCTTCGCCCCTGTTTATGGTGCAGATACTCACACTTGTAATTGTAGCATCTCTGCACCCTAGAAAGTTTCTGAGATAACAAATTCTTTTGGAAGGTGTTTTTTAATGTTGGAATTTGTCACGGTAGGTGTTGGAATAATTGTGGATTAAAAGTATCTCTGAAACCGAAATTAGAGTTAATGCATCAAGCAGACTTTGGGGAACATGTAGTGAGTTTTGTCACTTCAGATGTATGCATTTGATTTCTCTAGTTTCGCTTGCATAAATAAAGATTTATTGATTGCATATTGACAGAATACACTTTTGCTGAGCTGGCTAGGACCTTCACTTGATTAAAAAAAGGTATAAGTGGTCTGTGCTAGCGTAAGTAGTGCTGAGTCTTTCATTATCTGAGTGCCTTTTTTCATAACACCTTTCTTCATTATTAGATTATAGAGTGTCTGAATACTTCTAGTTCTTTTTTTCCTTTGGTTTGGGGGTAACAAAAGTATTTGCAGAAGCCATTTTTATACTAAGACAGGTATTTACCGCAAGTATATTTACTTTTACTTGTTGATAAAGCACTGTAGAATGAAATCACACTTCATTTGGTGCGACATGCCTTATAGCTTCTGAGTATCTAAAGATTCATACTAAGGAAAATGAAATGAAGGCATTGTAGTTGCACATTACTGTAGGATGGAAAAGCTGCACTTCTGAGGCTTTTGTTACAGACTTGATGAAAAGTCGGTTGGTACTATTATGCCGACATCCATTTCCACAAACATAAAGCTTTCCTTCAAAATGTGTAGAAGGCAGTCAGAAGAAAGGTAAAAATGCTGATACTTCTGTGTGCTTCTCTACAAGAGAACTATTTCATCCTGGGATGAAAGATGTATTTAAGAAAACTTAAAGTATACTTTTTAATTTAAAAAATACAATAAAATTGCATCTTGGAGAAGGAAAACTGCATTTCACCACATGGTATCAGGCTCCATCAGGCTTAGTTCAGTATATTTTTGAAATAAACATTTACGTTGTCTTCTAAGAGTATTAATTTTGTTCCACAGTTTTTGTCTTTGTCTTGGGTGCAAATTTAGATTGGCACCCTTTCGTTTAGGTGGGGTTTTTGTATCACTGATAGGAAAGAGTACTGCCTTTATAGTACCTCCGAGCTTCAGAAACATAACCATAAAAGGTTTCAAGGAGATTTGCATTCTGTTTCCTGCTGTTTGACTTGACCTTATTGTGCCAGACCGAGTTAAAAAGATTGCAGGCCACCCATTTATATTCTGGTGGCTTATCTCTCAAAAGAAAAGTAAATTAGTGTTCGTGGGCTTTGTAATCACAGACTTCACTTTGCACATTCTCTCTCTCTCCCCCCTGCTCCCCACCCCCCCTTCTGTGAGGTTGTGCCAGGTATATTTTCAATGTTATAACTGCAGATAATCTTAAGCAAACTGTCACAGCAACTACTGTGTCCCTGAAGGAATGTGTGCCTCTTCCGCTATCTGATATAATGGAAGGGAACAGCAGGCCTTGCTTAAAAAAGATTTAATCCTGGATTGCACACAGAGCATGCTTGCTGTACAGATTTGCTTTAGTTGATTTCCCGCCCCCTCCAGCAAAGGTATTCAATTTACAGAACTTTCTTTTTGTGTTTTTTTTTTATTTAAGAATTCTAGAATTTTCTGAAATGAAAAAGTTTTATGGGGGTCATCAAACTGCTAACTTTAGAAGGAATTAATTTGCGTCAAGTCAAAATGATTGTTTATGAGGGATGAGCTTCCTAGAAGTAGAACAGAAACTAGGGGTTTTCAGATCTTTGTGAAACTATAGCATTCTGACATGTAAATTTATAGGATTTTTTTATAATCAGGTTAGTCTATAGGCTTGTTTTACCCTGTTTCAACAGTCAGACCGAAACTGGCTCCTGAGATATAAGCAGCAAGCTAGAAGTGGGAGAGTATCTCAGAGAGCTTTGGGAGAAGAGCTATTAGACAAATATCCACATCAGAAGATAATTTAATTAAAAAAACCCCAAACTGTAAAAAGGCAACAAATACTTCATAATGGACAATAGAAAAAAATTACAAAATGTTTTTCAGAAATCTTTGTGAAACATTTCTGTGAAATGGATGTACTCCTTGAAGATGTTTTGCAATGAGACCAATTAGTACTATTTTAATGGGAAGGTGTTTTGTTGAAACCTTCTGTACTACCTAGTTAAGAGCAGGAGGGTCTCAAGACTGAAGCCTTTGCTTCATCTATCAGGCAGCATATGCATGACTTCAGCTGTCCAGAATTTTCCCTTTAACTCAAGTATTTCTTTTTTCTGATACAATTATGCTGACACTTAAAATCTCACCAAAGTATTTTGGTTCTTTTTACCTTGCCCTTTCTCATACCCAGTTTCAGAGTTGAGCTTAGATAAGTCCAAAGTCAGGACTGTATGACCACGTGGGCTGCTAGAACAAAATGTTCTCTCAGGGTGTCACCATAGAAACATTTCACAGTATTGAGCTGCTTCATCCAAATGAGCACATGCTGCAGGTCTTAAAAATTGTCAGCGTGTAGATTGGCCTCCCTATTCTGAGTTACATTTGCAGGTGAATGCTTGCTTACAGAGAAAGCGGTACTAATAATGAGAAGCTGGTTAAATAAGCATCTTGAAAAATTAAAAATTTTCAAAGTAATTTTGAAAGCAGCATTGAATTCTTAAAAGCCAAGTCTAACCCTTCTTCAGATAAACACAGCTAAACTCTAGTGAAGTAAAGAGACTTGGTTGCTAGAAAACTGGGAAGAAACTTCCAAGACTTGAACTATTTTTTTATTTATTTTTATTTTTTCCTCAGAGGTGCACGTAAATATCTAGTTACTCTACAGTCTACACAATCTAGAGTTACTCCTGAATCCTAACTGACCCAAAGGAACTGGAGGCTGGAATGATTGATACTTTATGTGATTGTTATGATGGCACCTCTTGGCTCCCCCACCAGCCATCAGTTCCACAGCATGAGAGTTCTCAAGGGATGTGCCAGCTCCAGAGCTCTGCCCTGTTTACAGTGCTTGTTTTTTCTTAACATATTTGATTAATGCAGGCTTAAAAAAGAAGGGATTACAGGCTGGTGTGTGTTTATTTCAAGAGGATAAGCTTTAGCGCATTGCACAGCCGTGTATATCTTGTGAACTGCATATGGATTAGGAGTAGAAATATATGCTGCCTTTACTTTTATTAATGAAATGTACCAGGTACACATCATCTTCTTCCATATCTTAACTGTCTTTTAAACTGAAATTTTTTGATACTTGAGGCAGGTAGGGGTGGAGTAGAAGCAGTGAATGAACCTTGGGTGCCAAAGGCTGGAAGAAAAGGCATGCTGTAAGTGGAATGACTACAGGACAGTTAGAGAAGAAAATGGTTTGCCCTTCTTTCCAGAGCCTTAAGTGGGGGAGTGAGGGGTAACTTGCTCTAAGCCTCCTTGCAGACTCGAGAGATATGAGATGTGAGCCAGTGCTCTTCTTTCCCTGTGTCTTTGTTGTGTTGTATAATGGTAGGCCTCATCCTAAATTAGAACTGTTTTGTAATTGATTTCATTGAATAACATAGCTTGATTTGGTTAAATATGGGAAAAAAATGCATATTAGGAAGTAAGGAGTAAAAAAATGTGTTTTACTTAGTCTATGGTATGGTACATGTGCTCTCTGTATAACATGCTTGAATGACAACTTATTTTAATTTAAAAATTTCTAAGTATGACAGTTTTACAGAAGTAGTGTTTAATGTAGGCGAACTTTGTGAGAGAGAGAGACCAGTGCTGTCTGGATTGTAGATAAATTGTACAGACGATTTGACAATTTGACTTGTATAAACCTTGTAGCAAATGAAAACTTGTGTAACTTTGGTCAACTATGTGTTAGGTTTTTATACAGGCGGAACAAAATGTGTCAATGTGCTGGGAGTACATTTTTCTTTACTACTTTTTGCAAGATGTTAACTCCAGATAAAATTTGAAAATCCTGTTTCTCCTTTCCTGTTATAGAGTGGTAGAACAAGAAGCTCAGAGATCGCAGCAAGTTTCCCAGGACCGAAAGAGTCCCAGCAGAACCAATGGCTGCAATGAAAACAGGCCCATCGACATCCTGGAAATGCTTAGTAAAGCCAAGGATGAATATGAACGAGTAAGGAAATGTCTTGTCTCTTTCTCTTTTTCTTCTTCTTTTTTCCCTAACGTTATGAACAAATAAAAACACTACTTCTACTTCTTGGCTGGACTTCATGGTTGGACTTGATGATCTTAAAGGTCCCTTTCAACCTCAACAGTTCTATGGTTCTGAATAAGGGCCTTAGGACATCATATGGAGCCTACTGAAATAGCATGCCCTGTGATTTCTGAGAGAGAGATGATAGAGAGTAATTCTGATACACTAAATTGTCCTGTGCAATACATTCTGACTCAAGATTGCCAAGTAGTGCACCTAATCCATAATTTAACAGGCCTGTGTATGCTTACGTTTGAGTTACTACCTTCTGGGGGGGGAAATACATTTGTAAAAACAGATACCTGGAGATGCAGACACAACAAAATATTTTTCTAAATAGGTGCACGGGCTGCTTAATCTCAGTACTTGTCTACTGGCTTGTTTTATGAGATCACTGTCGAAGGAAACATGAACAAATAGGTATATATGTAACATTGTAGAATAACGTACCACTGAACATGTCTGGTTTTGTGATCTTGAAGTTCCATTATTGTAAATATTCCTTATCGTGGCTGATGCTTTGGTTTTTCAGTTTTTTTGCTCTGTATTGAAAGTCACTGGAGGAGATCTGCTATGGTTCATGCCATAATCAAGAGCATTCATTGAGCTGCACGCTAAAATGCTTTGGCATGTTGAATAATATAGCAGAAGCCCAGAAACTCTGTGAGCTATCCCATGTGTGTGATACAAGCATGGATGTACAGTGACTTAGGAGAAGGGGTAATGTGGGGAAAAATTAATATTTTTAAACAGTTTAGGATTCGTGTGTTGCATGAATTCGTAAGTTTTATTTCTGTAATTATTACCTTAGTGGGCAACTCTTTGCTGACATGTTTCGTTATTTTTCATTTTTAAGAAAGCCTGTCTGGAAATTAGTTTTTAACACATCAGCTGTGTTTTGTTTTAAAGAGCAGGCATGCTCTGCCATTGTTTCAGTAGCCTTGTTCTCAGACTGATGTCTTGTTCCCTCTCTCAAGTACACTTTACTAGGAAACAGTCTCTGATTTCAGACAAGGTAGCTTGAATAGTGATCATGTGATCCCACTTGAAATGTAGCTTGATAGACCCATTTTACAACAGTTTCTACTGCTGTGAGAAAATTTTGTCTCTGGGAATAGCAAATAAAAATTGTACCCAACAGCATCTGTCTCTTTGTACTCTCAAAAGAAGTCTTGTGATAGAGATTAGAGATTTAGTCATTCAGTACATTTGTAGACTCTATGAAGCATATTTTTAATAGCTGCAGACTAAGTATAACAATACTGTTCCCTGATCCTTCTGTTCCCCAGTTTACTACTTCTGTCCTGTCTACTGTGTGTCTATCCTTTTAATAAATTATCTGATTTCAGAAGGGTGAGTGTGGTATTTATCGCCAGTGCTAAATTCACAAGTTTGTATAATGGAGGAGAATATTAGTTATCTTAGGACTACATAAAGTAATTCCTTCCTGAGGACCAAATTCATGCATGCAGGATGAATATTAGGGTAATATGTGGAGATCCAAAAAAAGGAAACAAAGAGTCTGAATGTACATACCTCTCCCCAAGTATAATAATACAATAATGTGCAATAGTAAAATGATGTGTGAGTATAACATTGCAGAACTGTGGTATGGTTTTTGTTGTTGTACTGGTGGGAGAAGAGTCAGCACATTAGTAGAGTGCTTGATTCCTTCCAGAACTTGCTTGTGCAGTGGGTCACAGCGGAGTTTCTTTGAGTACTTGGGATTTGAGTCTTTGTAGGATTCCAGATTGTTAGAGTACAATGCTGGGTCAGGAGAAAAGAATGAACGCGTGGATTAAGCCTTGTATGCGCCAACTTAATTTGTCACTTTCTGCCATAGATTGAGGGCAGGTGGATCTGACAAATGATACAATATATTTGACCCAGCCTAGATACTAGTTTATGAAAATCAGTAATGTGGGTTTTTTTCAACACTTTAAATACAGGTTTAAAAAACATACTCTGAGCATCAGTGATGCTGTTTGGGGAGAAGGTGTCTTTGTACGAAGGCCAGCATTGTGGAAGTAGCAGCTTTTGTGAGAGCATAGAAGGAAGCATCAAAACCTGAATGAGTCATCTTTCAATGTTCTATCAATTGAGCCAGGTTTGAAGAAATTGAAGGCTTTTGGGGAAGGAAGGAAAAAAAAAAAAAAAGAAAGCACACACCACAAGAACTCACTGTTTTGGTAGTGCCCTCTTACGGTATGATGAAGCCTTTCTCCCTCTTTGTCCTTGCAGTATTGGATTATATACATTGCCAACAGATGGCTCTTAAAAATGACTCAGAATGGATATTCCAGCTTCTCCGCTCCTAATTTTTCAGATCTTTTTCATGTGAGAGTACTGAAAAGCTTTACAAATTCCTAAGCATCGTAGAAGAAGCTCTGTAGACAAGTAAACAGTCAATGGTATGCAGATTATGGGGTGGACAGTCGATGTCTGTGGTGCCTGTAATACAATAGGGAAATACGCAGGACATGGACTACAGTAGAGCTACTATATAATTGGGGGGTTTGTGTCTTGATCTTGGTTATTTGTTGTTTGTCTGTTTCTGGTTTTTGATGCTTTTAGAACACTAATGAAACTAGGATAATTATTTAATTTCCTATTTGTGTGTGTATGTGAACTGTACACCGAATCTGTTGAGCATAATCCTATAGCCTGCTATGATTGTAATTATGTAGAAGTTGCCAGATAAACAGAATTGAGCAATATTGGTCACGTTTCAAGCAAACTACTTTGGAGAATGTTCTGTTGACCACCTCAGCTTTAGCAACAAACCTCTGGCACGTTAATCTTGGAACTCCTTGTAGCCAAGGTATGTCAATGTTAATGTGATTAGGTAACCAACTTGTTTTGAAGATGGCTTCTTGAGAGACCTTTCCTGTCTTAATTATTTTAAAAAAAAATATTTTATGGCAATCGGTAATTGTGCATGAATTTGTATTTAGGAGCAGAAAGTACTTATCTGCCTGGTACATTCCAGATGGATCATACAGTAATCCTTGTGTGCAGCCCACATGAGATTGGCAGAGTGTCAGCGTGAGAAGGGGGCAGAGAGAGTGAAAAAGAGATTTATGAAGGTCTGAGTGATTTAATCTAGGATTCCAAATCAGCTAAATCCTTCAAGTACTTGCTACATCAAGTCCATATGTGAAAATGAATGAATTTTGAGATTTTTTTTTTTTTAAATGAAGTGAATGGATGCTTTTGATAGTGTGGTGTTTTGTGTGTGTTTCAGTGTGAGCATGGAAACATCCTCTAGTGAAAAGAAAACTATGCTTTGTCTGATTTTGTAACCACAATGCAGCCAGCATTTTAAGCACAGTTTTTGACCTTCAAGTTAGTGGCTAAAAGTCAGAAAGATGGGAGAAGTTGCTTCTCACCTCTGTCCCTAAATCGCAATGTATAGTCCTGATTTTGTATTTATTGCTTTCAATTAGAAATTGAAAACAAAATAATAATAAAGCACAGATTTTTTTTTTTAACTTGTTGCTAAAAAGTTTAACCCATACCCGTTTTGCTGCTGTGGGTAAGTGACCAGAGTAATCATCACATGTAGTGCTGAAGTTCGGCTATATCATATGCATAAGGTGTAGTTTACCTATTGAAAACTAGACTGTTCTACAGTTTGGGTTTTTTCACTGGTGATTTAAACTGTAATACAACTTCTGTTTTCGTTTAGGTATATACATTTATTAAAGACAGAAGTCAACTCTATCTGTAAACATATTGTCTGTTATAATGCAGGTCACTTGTCTGGTTTTTGCCATGTTCACAGAAAACCAAAATAACACCTACTAAAAATACGTGCACGTGGTTAATTAAACCTGGTGCACATAAGTCAGTGGCAAGCTCTCTTGCCAGCCACTTAGGAAAAAAAAAAATCCTGTCAGAAATCATTCTAAGTTGTTTCTAGTTTGGGTTCTTGATTTAATGAAGTATAGCAAACTTCTTCATTACTAGCTAATGCAGATAAAGGATGTGAAAAGCCTGCCTCTTTTTTATTTTTTTCCCTCAGTGAAAAAGTATGAAGCCAGTTGTCTTTTGTTTTAATAATAAAGAGTAAAAGCTGTATGAATACAGGTGGTGGATGTTGTGGTATGATTTTTAATTCCTAAAATCTGTGAATTCCATAGTGTCCTACAAAAATCGGTACTATTTCGTTTGTATTTCAAGATGCCACGTAAACAGGATTGTAGTAGTGAATAAATGTAGACTTAAGACTCATGTATTTGTGTTAATTTAATTCTTTTTTTTCCCCCCCCAGAATCAGATCAGTGACTTAGGTATTATGTCAAGTTCTGGAATGCAACAAAATGTAAATCCACCAAAGCCAGAAAGTACAGAGCCTTCAGAACAAAAAACTTCATTACGAGTTCAAGACCAGGTATGTTGAGTCCAAACCTAAATAAGGTGCTGCTTTTTTTTTTTTTTTTTTCATTTATTACTTTGCTTTGGAACCAAAATATTTTTTTTTTCTTAGAATGCCTGCTGTGTAGTCTGCTGAATGTGTTACTGCTTTAAATAAACTAAGGGGTTTCAAAACTTTTAGGATCCAAAATTCTGTCTTTTGACTTAGCATTTAAAAATAAAAGGTTATGTCAGACTACTGTGAATATCCAAGTATGTTTAAAAGGGCTGACTTGGATTCTGGAAGAAGTTAGTCTGTGGTAATGTGCAGGATGACTTGCAGAGCCCAGAAGCAAGAAAAGAGTACCTCTGCCACATTATTGGGCTGAATATGGCGTTAGCTGTATGCTGTATTGCAGTCTTTCACGTATGAACTCAAGTTCTGTTTTCTCGTGTTTGAGACATCTACTGAAGGTTTATCTGTGCTGCCTTCAAAGCTGTAGCTACAGTCCTACTAACTTAATCAACAGTGAGTTGCTAGGCAAGAAATGGAAAGTGCTTTGGTCATGGCAGCACCAAATTCTCTTTGGCATAACTGAAAATATGTTTACCTATCTTCTCCCACACCTGTAGCTTGCATTGAACCTCTGCTTGTGTGACTGTTTGGTAATGCTGTCAGTGAGTTCTGTTGATTCCTTCATACTTAGATTATGGAAAAACTGTTTGTGGTTTTCTGTTGGTTTGCTTCAGGGCCTTTTTGTTTTGTTGCTGGAAGAGGAAGAGTGTTGTTTGGGGTTGGTTTTTTTTTGCTGTATTAAAAACTTTTTGGCAGTATATTCCTTGAACCACAGGAATATACTTCCTCTCTACGTATATATATATAGACACACATATTTTTATATATATTTGAACCACAGGAAACATGTTACAAAGTACTTTGTATCATCACTGGAGTGGCTGGAATAGTTCAGTATTTGGCTCCATTTTCTAGTAAGCATTTCTGCGCAAGGAAGCTGTAGCTTCATATAAGACTTTTTAGAGATAAATTTAGGGGGGAAAAAAAAAATCTGCAGTAACTATATTCTAACACTTAAGTAACTTGGGCCTGCTTACAGTGCCACCCAGTGGGCACAGAAAGCTCAGTAGTGGTTCTCCTCAGAAAATAGCCCACTGAGGTGAGTGGCAAGGCCTGCCTCCCCTCCTTGCCATGGTTTACTGTTGTGGTCCTGATGCCATAAACCACTGTGTCTGAAAAATGAAATGCCCTATGAAAATGCGTGCACCTTTGCACTTAGTACTTGTAAACAAAATACTTACTTTGTAGTAGTAAATAATTTCCAGTACAGGTTAGAGCTAGGGTATGAGCAGCAGGAA